ATTCATCCTTTGTACCAGATTTTACCTCTTTCAGCATTAGTCATTTTGTCAGATGCCTCTTCACTTCCAAAATGAACCATAAAAACCCTTTTAAATGAACATCCTTTACATCAAATTTATAGTTTCTTGAAATTTTTGCGATTCCTCCTTTAGTTTGATTATTTCATAATGACAAATTTTATCAGGACACTTTTTAGGAGATACTACTACGAACAGTAGCTTGAAAATTTTTTCGGAGTGAGATTTTACTTAATGTATAACAAATCCAATAATTTGATCAATTTTGAAGGTTCAAAATTTTATATATTATTTATAATGAGGGATCTTTTGTTTTTATTATTCTATATTGTCTACTGAGACAATGGTACAATACACTTTATTATGGAAGAAAAGTGTTCTTTCATTTTAAGAAATGAAACCCAACATCATTTCAAATTACTAAAGAACAAAAGGTAAAAGTAAATTTAAAAGTCAGTTAAAAATGTGAGTAAAGATGACTTATGTTCATCTAACAGACCAGAGGTTGGCAAACTTTTTCTGCAAAGGATCAGATAGTAAATATTTTAGGCTTTGCAGGCCTATACGGTTTTCATTCAACTATTCAGTTCTGCTGTTGTAGCCATAGGCAATAGGTCAATGAATGAGAGTGGCTATGTTCCAATAAAACTTCATTTATGGACATTGAAATTTAAATTTCAAATAGCTCTCGTGTCACAAAGTATTATTTTCCTTTTGACTTCTTTCAGCCATTTAAAAATGAAAAATCCATTTTTAGTTCACAAGTCATACAAAGAAATACGACAGGCTGAATTTGGCCTACAGGCCAGTTTGCTGACCCCTGCAATAGATTGAGTTTCTTGAGGACAGGGACCATGTCTTATTCATTTTTTAACTCCAGCACCCAGCATGGCATCAGATACATATCAAGGATTAAAAATAAAAAGCTTGACAAATGAATAAATAAATGAGACCCAAGATGCATGCTAGGCTTTTATCCAACTCTTTAATTCATAATCAAAATAATATATTACTATACAACCTTTTATTCTGGTGTAGCTTAGTAGTCTAAAAGTGCTGAAAATTATTTTTACCTTACAAATATTAAATAGTTCAGTATTTTCTAATTTACCATAATACATTATCAAACATTTCTTTGTAATTGCAAAGATGTTCTTTTTAAAATAAATGTTTCTTCATCTTTTATTCTCTTCTAGACTTTATGTCTAAAGGGCTTTCACTTTACCTCACTTATACGTCCTTAATTATACTTTTACCTTTTAAGAATAATAAAAGATTCTTTACGTAATAATACCTATTTTGGATATAATTGCTTTTAAGTGATAATGGGACATGAAGAGATAATATACTTGGTATAGCAATGAGTTATGTTCTATAGAATTTTATTACTAGCATTTCACCAATGTCAACGGATTATCCAACCTTTATCAGATCCGAGAAAATGCAATCTATTATTAAAAATAAAGCTTTTCAAAAGTTGTAGAGTATGGATTATTATGTTACTGTATGTAAGCTTTGATAGTATCTCATGTTGAGAGGCAGGGAACAGACCAGCAGGTACGTGACTATCAGATAAACCTCATTCTAAGATACAGGGCCTAAAAGTAGAAACAAATTCGTAATTTAGGAAAATCAATTCTGATTGCCTTATTCGTATAAAATATGTAAATAAGATACATTTTACTAAACTTGCTATTTCCATTTTTCTGTTAATAGACCTGGAAGAACTCTAAAGCTATTAAGCTTTTCATTTTCTCTAAGGTTCAAACACAGTGCCAATAACTTTAGATTGCTTTATTTCACTCATTCAATTTATCATTTTCCCCCTTCCTTTTTTTTTTTTTTTGCGGTACGCGGGCCTCTTACTGTTGTGGCCTCTCCCATTGCGGAGCACAGGCTCCGGATGCGCAGGCTCAGCGGCCATGGCTCACGGGCCCAGCTGCTGGCATGTGGGATCCTCCCGGACCGGGGCAAGGACCCGTGTCCCCTGCATCGGCAGGCGGACTCTCAACCACTGCGCCACCAGGGAAGCCCTCCCCCTTGCTTTATTTAAACAACCCACACAACTCACAAACATTGTCCATTGTGTTTGTAGATCAAACTTATTACTGACAATTACTGACTATAAAATATTAGCACCTTAAGGGAGAAGTTTTATATTATTTTACCTTTATCACTAATATTTGTGTTTTCTGTCAATAACTTCTGACTCTAAAAATATTTGCAACCTTAAGTGTATATAGGTACATATGCTCTACAAATAGGTTTCTCTTTATAGGCACAATTATCTAAGACAATTAACTATATTATTACAGGTCCAAAATTATACTTCTGGATTCCTAGCTGACATCCCAGTGTTAAGTTTTAGATATTATAAGAATTGCAACTATTTAAAGATAAGAAGAAATTAGGAGAATTATTTTTGGGTGGTCTTATATTGCTTTTATGTTTATTTTTCAAAGGCTTAACAGCCCTATGGACTTTTGCTGTAGATAATCATACCTTATGTGTGTGTGTGTGTGTATATATATATATGTATATATATATATATAATTTGAAATAAAGTAAATCTATTAAAGATCAAGATATTCACAATCAGGTAACTTACTTGTTTTCAAAAATAGATATTAGAGAAGACATAATTATATGTATTTACCCTAATACAATTTTAGCCAGGTAGTTGCTATAGGCATATACAAATATAAGAGCACTTCTAAGGTTTTCTGGTAACTGAAGAACTGCATTGAAGAATAAAGAAAGAACTTCTCAATTTTCTGATATTGAAATACACAAAGTCATGGAAAGACATAGACTCTTGTTAACTAACAGTAGAAAAAAAAAGGTTGGGCGATAAACAGATACTAGAATGGTAGAATTTCAAGACCTCTGAGTTATATGGAGATGGAAAAGATAAAATATGAAGCTTACTATGTTAAAATTTTTAAAAATTTAACAAGATTGTGACGATTTCATGGATATACTTTAAATCTAGTATACGACTATTTTTGCCCATTTGATAGTTATGTATAAAAATACTACAAATTTGTCCACTTTGATAGTTATGTAATAACTAATAAAAAAAATTAACCCTTATAAGTTAACCCTTACATAGTGCTTACTAAAATGCCAGGAATAGTTCTCATTGAAACCTCACAGCCATCCTGGTAGATAAGCACTTTCATTTCCCTCATTTTATAGGAAATTAAGGCACAGAATGATTTAATAATTAGTCTACACTCACCGTGTTGTAAGTAGCAGAGCCAGAATTTAAAAGTTTGGATTTGCAACCTAGTGTTTTGGTATTAACTTGAAACTCCACGGAACACAAAATATTTAATTTTGTGATGCAAATTATTTTCCCACAATTAAAAATAATTTTGTTAACTGGTTATGAATGAATTCTATGGTAACTTTTTTTTACTTTTCTGATATAAAAGTAATATTATGAAAATGTCAAACCAGTACACAAACAACAAGGATATATAAAACCAAGGTCATTTACTTCAAACACTTAACCCAACACTCAAACTCCAAAAATCAATGTCTTCACATATGTGGGCGATTTTCTTACAAACAAAACAAAACATAAACACACCTTTACAGGAGATGGCTTCCCTCCAATTGTACTTTTTAAGTTAGTCTCACAGTTTAAAAGAAATATAAAAATTAGCCAAAGGACCATTTCCCCTTAGGACCCAGAAGCTATACAAGAATTACTTCTTTTTTAAGTAGTTGAAGCTAACAATCTCCCAGAATTCTATTCTAATTGCTTAATAAAATGACTTTATTTATAAGCTTAATTATAATAATATTCCAAAAATCTCTGTGCCATGATTTTTACATAGAAGAATAGAAAACTTTTTAAAACTTGTTAAAACAATGTGCATTTTTACATACTAGAGCCAATGGTTCCCAAAGTTTGGAAGCACGGTCTATGCACCAGCAACATGTGCGATACCTGGGGCCTTACTAGAAACACAAATTCTTGGGACCCACTGCAGATTGACTGAATCAGAAACACTGTGGGTGAGACACAGCAATCTGTTTTACCTCTAATTGTGGTACAAGCTAAAGTTTGAAAACTGCTATATTAGAGTAAGGACAATAATTATTTAATAGGTACTGAGCAAAAGTATCTTGCTATGAATAAGATAGGAGACACAATGGTGCACTGATTTGGAAATAAAAAACCAGTTAACAATAAGTTGAAATTCAGCCAAGAAACACTTTTCTGGGAGGTAAAGGAAACAATGTCACGAGTATTAATATAAGTTTGCATATGACTCTGAAGTGACACATGAAGCTTATGGCTTCTTTAAAAAGAAAGGAGGACTTTCCCCCTTGTATCACTGAGCACTGTCTATTCTTCATTCTTTC